ATTTATTGATAAGAAAATGATGCATAAGAATAAATATCACCTCATAGTACATACCAAAATAAATATGAAAAGATACAGTAGTTTATTCATAGTACTCTCTTTGCACTGAAAGTAGAGTGTGTAAAAGAAAGGCACAGAGAGGTTTTGGAACCTGTCATGAGAAAATATGTATATACATAATGGGTAGCAGCATGAACTGCTCAAATAAAGCGAACGATGTGGACTGACGTGCTGCAGCCAAGAGCAAGTAGTGGCGACAAGCATTGAAGTCTAAAGTCCTTGTGATCGGCTGTAGCATAAAGCCAATTAGTGCAGATGTGAAGCAACCCGCATACATTTTACTGCAGCGCGAAAATATAAAGAAAGTTACTTAAGATCAATGATGTACAATGGCTATATTAGGATTCCACTTAAATTATTTCCATCTAACCTATATTTAAATAATAATGAACAATTAATACATTAAAATTTCTGATGGTAATACGTATAAAAATGCGGAATCACACAACACTTTAAAAACGTAAAAGGAAGAATGTATTATGCTGTAAGGAAGAAAATGCTCAACTGCAAATTATAAATCTATTTTAAATATTGCTAAGTAACGTACATTGTTTATTCAGTGCTATATTCCGTATATCCTCAGCTAGTAAGCTTTCGGAAGTAGGAGAAATAGGCTTATTTGTATTATGAAGATCCAAAATTCACTATCTGAAGTGAGACTGAAATGGATTAAAGTCTAACACTCTCCCACGACCTTTCTGATAATCAGGACTGCTAATTAAACAGTTGCTAGCGTTCTGCAACATCTTGTAAACATAGTTAATCTTTTTTTTATAATTGTAGTCACCTAGAATACTGACAGCTAGATTTGTTTTACAAGCCCTTTAAATCATTTTGTGCAACCAATTGGTAAGTATAATTACGATTCCAAATTTTCCAAAACTATAAATATTTTGGATGCGCGAGAATAAAGAAAGTACAAAACCTATAATCACGTGGCAACCTGGTCTTGAGTTGCATATCACAGCCTGGCAGCTCTAGGTTAAAAGAATACAAGTCCAAACTGGCATTAATACTAAAACTAGCATTCAAATGCTGAGCAGCTGTTTGAGCAGCCAAAAAATTTGGGAAGTTGCTGGGCCGCTGAACTGTGAATGGCTTGGCCACATTTACTTTTTTATGTAGTTTACTGTACGTACTATAATTGCAAAACATATACTTTAGAAGATTTCACTAAATTTTTGTAGTCTTACAAAGTCACTTATATTCTAACGATGATGTGTCCAGTAAATTTACAAAAAAATCATACAAGCTGCTAGTAAATTCAGAAAAACAGTTTTATATAGTTAGCTTCGGTAAAGTAGATCCTTTACATCTCTTATTCTGGTATAAGAATTGTAGGGGGGCCTACTTTTCCTCCATATTGAAATTTTCTGTGCCGTTACTGCGTGTAAGATCTATTGTGCCTGCATGACTTTGGATCTACCAGTAACTTATTACGAAAAGTTTTGTGTATTATTGAAGATGGTACTGTCGATACCACACGAATCAACTGAGAACCTTATCCTAGTTTCCTGGTTCAAAAAAAAAACGTAAAGAATTAATTTGCATATTAGAAAGGTGGGATTTTTTTAATTTCCAAAAATACAGAGAAGTTTATTCTCTGAAATTGATAGAGCATATGAGTTGATAAAAGTATATGAAAAAAGTTTTTCTGCTAGAATCATTGTTTCTAACATTAGTTCCTCTCTTTGTATTTTTGATTAAGTTTTGTCTAAATTGTTAACAATTAGTATTTCAAAAGTCAGCTGTAGTTTAAAAAATAGTTATTAATTAAAGAGCTTAGTAAAAGGTATCGTGGTCTCATACGGATGTATGTTAATTCCATTCAATGTTGTATCTTCGTACACTAATCTGCCACATGATTAAATAACGCAGGATGTTTTAAAATAAATGAGAACTTCTAAGAAGTTTCTTACACATGTCAAAGAAGGAGTGATCGAATAGTTGGAGGTTTCTTCTTGACTTTACATATTTTGTACTACACTAAAAATTCTACAAACAGCTAATAGGCTGCCCTATGAATAGTTGTTGTAGTCTGATATTAGTGGATACAACCTTAAGATTTTTAGAAGATAAGTTGTTGCCAGAATTATCAGAGTTAGTATTAATTTAGAGGAGATATATGTAGGACTGCTTCTTAACTGCAAAAGAAACAGATATTGATAATGTACATAAAAAAATTTGATTCGCATAATAGGTTTAGTCAGTTTATGGTTAAGATTGTAGTAAATAATTTTTTACCATTTTTGAATATAAAAATAATTAGAATACAGAATTATATTTGTTTGATTGGCTAGTATAGTAAGAGATCTTCCTCAGACAAAATTTTAAGTTACTTTCCACATGATAATATCCAGTTTAAAAAAGCAATAAAAATAAATTTGGTTGACAAACAATTTAAGTTGTATAGCAAAAGATTTAAAACAAAAAATTTAATGATTGTTAGAGTGATGCTTGAAAATAATGGTTACCCCACTTCTTTCTGTTGCCTAGTAATAAAAAATAAGTTAGATATTCAAATAAGATTTATAAATCTGACAGTCTACCTAAAAACAAAGTAACCATTGATAATCCCAAAACTGTTGCTCAATATAATAAAACTATAAGTAATTTGTTACCAATACTTCTGTACAATCTAGGCTTTTCCGTAAGTCTTACGAACTGTAATAAACTAAACGTCGTCAGACTTCGAAAAAATACAATTAAAACTGTTAAAAGATCTGTAGTGTATGTTTTTTTGCAAAGGTTGTGATGCGTGCTATGTTGCATTAACCTCTAGACAGTTAACAGTTAAAAAAATAGAACACAAAAATAATGTTGTTAATGATAACGATGAATCAGTTTTGGCAAAACATTGTAGAAAAGGGAGGCATTAATTTTTTTGAGAAAATAAAGGTTTTAGATACATAAGAATCTGGGTTCAAGAGAAAGTTTTTATCATTATTAGACATTTTTTGCCACCCTCATAGTATGAATGGAAAATTTAACCTAAATAAATTATCCAAATCGTAAAAAACTTTCATTAAATTATTATAATATAAAACATTACAATAAGGGCTTTTTTATGCTTTTTTATTTGTTGGATTTGCTGGCTGAATCAGACCTGCAATGCACCTTCATGCGAAAGTATACATGGATGCAAATTTTTTTAGGACTGTAGAGGTGTTACTGACCAGGGGATGATTAGTTGACTATGTTTTGTAGAATTGTAGAATCGGCTGTATGCATCAATAAATTGGATGACACCGATGACGTGGTGGTGGTCCATATTAGCTTAGCCTATAATGGTGACTCATAGTTAGTCCTATAGTTTGACCTTCTTTATCTTTGATACTTCTATGGTCTAATCATGGCATTGTTGTAGGTTTCTCTGTGTATGTTATGCGTAAGAGAATTACTTTGATTCGTGGTTTTTAAAAGATGTATCGGTGTAGTGTGGCTAGAACATATACTGTAAATTTTGTTTTTATTGGTTTACATAATTGTACTCATGAACAATTTGCTGACACATATTTAATTGTGATTAAGGGTTTTATTTGTAGGTTTAAGTAGAGATGCCGTTTTTGAAATGTGGAGAGCGCTTGAGCCACCTGCTTAATTCGCCTGCTTTGTGTTTGATTCGGGTAACGAGATGTAATATTTACAATGTACAAATCGATATGTGTGGACGGGGCCTTTTTGAGTCGTGAAACATCAACAATCTTTATTGAATTAAAAATACACTCTCTAAGTATGGCTTTTTCATTGTTCTATTTATCGAATAAATGTACGGTATAAGAGAAAAAAAGAAGAAGAATCACAAAATAGTAATAATAATAAAAATAGTTATGACAATCTAATGCTTTTTACTTTTAGAGGCGCATTTTTTTCGCATTTAAAATTACTCCTAATATTTTCTATCACTCAGCAAAAGATTTCTAGTAATGGTCATCATATTCTCAGGATTATATTTATTACTCTACGTTACCAGAGAGGTATTGTTGTTATTATTTTTATTAATATTCTGATTGTTATTAATAATTGGTAATTTCATAATGTATTCATGACTTGTATTGTTGTACTCACTATTCTGTTTTAAGAGAAGGGAGAAATACCAAAAAAAAAATTTGAAAATGTGAAAAATGACAAGTATTACATGGTAATTCAATAGGGTACTAACGATTTTCATTGCTTTATTTGCCTTTCATTTTCACATTACGGAGACACATAAAAACAGGTCGGAAAAAAAATTTCTGAAAATGTACATAGTCACCTTTGGAGCCTTAAGACCCCCCCCCCCCCATGGATTTTTGGCCGAAGCCTAAAATTCATATGCTGAGCAGATTTGCAACGATCTTGACGATATAATTATTCAACAGTGAAGTTGCAACGAAATGCATTAGTGCACAAAGGTAAGTTATACGCACCACAATAATAGCGTACAAACTAGATGTGGGTGGATATAATAGCGATATGGGTGAAACGTTGCGAGCACAGCACAGCCAAGGGTAAGGGTGCCTCAGAATAAGATGAGGAGAGACATAGCTTTGTACTGGCGAAGGTTACCTAGCTTTACCAAATTTAAATCGAATTTTTCTAAATAAATTTTCTGTGAGTACATTTTCAATAATTAATTAGTAGCATAAAGATCTACAATGCAATTGACGGCATTAAGTATTTTAAAGCTAGATTTATTAGTATTTTTAATAAATCTGATTGCAAAAAAAAAAGATATCTGATTACTAGAAGAAACATTTTACTATGTCTTCATCGTATTTTTGATGAATAAGTGCTTTTAACTAGTTATAACAATTTATATACCGTAGAAGGAACCCAAACCTGATGTCTCCTTATAACCATAAATGTTATTTAGAAATGAACCATGAAATAAATATAAAAATAAACAGTTTGCTTACAAAGACTTTGAAATAAAAAATTTCTTACATGTTTTCTTATAGCCTGGAATCACTCAAAAACTACGAGAAGAGCTTGGCGCAACTGCTGTTCGAGCAGCTAAAGCAGTTAACTACGTTGGTGCTGGAACAATTGAGTTTATAATGGATCAGCACACCCATAGTTTTCATTTCATGGAAATGAATACCCGTTTACAAGTGGAACATCCAATTACAGAGATGATCACTGGAATAGATCTTGTAGAATGGCAGCTGAAAATTGCATCAGGAGAAGAGCTGCCACTAAAACAAAAAGATATTAAACTCAAAGGTCATTCTTTTGAATCTCGCATATATTCTGAGGTAAGCTCAATTTTATTGCATAACGTAATGATTTTAATACAATACAAAAGTGTTTCAATTTTTTTTAAACAGTAAATATACATATATTTCACATCTAGAAAAATTTTTACGTATGTAATTCTTCTGATGGATGTCCGACAATACATTTATAAATGTCAACAACATTTTGCTTAAATTCTGTTATGTAAACTTCATAATTTCCTTTTCCATTAAAATTAATACCAAGTGCAATTACATTCTTATTTACGTAAAGTTTCTAAATAAAAATATTTATGGATCCAGAGGATCAAAGCAGGTTGCAGGCAAAAATAATGGCTTGATATAAAATATAACTGAAAATATGTTCTCACTATCAATTTATTTAATTACCTTCGACGAAGTAGGATTTTAATATGATACAACGATCTCCATTCTTGGTTCGATACAATAATCTTTTTTTCTTTTACCACGATACGCTTACAATGTTATCCAATGTACTCGGGAATACCCCATATAGATATCCCGAATGATAATCGTTTGAGTGTTAAGTCATAAGCGAAACAGAGAATCTCAAAACAATAACAAGATCATGATTCCCCGAATCATCTTGATCAAAACAGTTGTCATCGTCTCAACGACTTGGGAGCTTGTGCGGTACGAATACATACGACGCACTTATGTGTGCGTATATGAAGCGATAAATTACGTTATATTCGACTATTTTGAATAAGCTTACAAAACAACGATCAAAATTTGAGTCAGGATCATAGACAACTAAAATTAAATAAATTGATATGACGTACCCCCTTGACTACTTATTTGTTTCTCGCAATTAAAGAATTACCCAAAATCTTATAAAATAGAGTACGTTTAATCGAATTAATTCTGTGACGACGCAATAATAAAAAATGAAATTGAAATCATAAACAACTAAAATAAATAAATCAATGTGCCGTATTCTCTTGGCTACTTATTTGTTTCTCACAATTGAAAAACGAACAAAAATCTTATAGAGTAACTTTATAGTTACGACGATCGAGCCCCGTAAAAATTAATTGAGTAACACACTTCCAATGAGCCTACTAAAGTCGCAGCAGAACTTCTAAATCTCTTTGTCGCACATAATTTTTTAGTACAGACGCACGCTACGTTGCTTAACTTAGTTATAATCAAATAAATTCGGAAACAGCAGATCAAAGAGAAGGTTTCTAAACGTTCACCAGAGAATAACATTTCAACCAATTTTAAATATTAATCAAAAAGGTATTTGGTAAACTAATTTCAAGCTAATATTTATATTTACCACCGATGTAAAGAACAGGCTAAAAGCCGGAGTGGGAGAGAAAGGAGTGACAGGAGCCAAGGCGCCAAGCGATCGAACACAGAACAACGCGATGAAAAAAATGAGCGACACCAAGAGAGTAGCCACGAGCGAACGTCCTCAAGTTGCTTGTTGAGTGGAATCGGGGCCACCCTTCGATTGGTAAAACATGCAATCGATGGCTTTACGTCTTAATTCTTAAAAGTCTTGCAACTTACGCTCCCTCAAGCCAAGAAGGAATCCACTTACCTTCTTTGCTCTCTTAGCTCTTCCCTCTTTCCATCGAATAATAAAACGGCCTTTTTTACCTTTTTCGATCCCTCAGTACATCTCAGCCTCTGTACCCCCTATCTTTATTCCTCACCTAAGTAATCGTGGTCGCCGATTCCGCTGTGATGCGTATCCAATCGCACTTTAAGATTGAGGTCGATGTCATGACCACGCCTTTTTCCCAGATTCTCTTAAGTCTCGACGGAATTTCCCGCGCAACGGCCTACTCTTAAAAACAAAACTTATTTGAGACCCTTTTTCGCTAACTTTTCCACATCTTTGAACGTATCTTTCTCACCCTACTTTTATTCTTTCTTTCTTATCTTCTACTTACTGTTGAATACTAAAATTTTGGTTTCAACGCAGTGTAATATCAAATTTTTCTATTTCTAAAAATTTTGAGCACATCCAACATATCCTGCATCGCTTTTATATTTAACGTTAATAGTAGTAAATCACCTTATCTTCTTGTTCTTCTTTCCACTTAATTGAGGTAGTCTATTACCCACTACTTTCTCACTTCAGTTTCCTTGAAAAAAATGAATGTTGTACATTAAATTTTTTTTTTGGACTTAATTATAAAAAAATATTTATACCACATTGGTTTTTGAGATTATAAAGATGCAAGTTTAAAACTTAAACACAGGTGATAATGGGACTTTTTAAGTACAGGCAAAAAGAGCTACTTAAGTAACTAAGAATTTTCTGAAAAATATACTAATAAAAAATCTATAATTCGTACTATTTTATACAATTTTAAAACTGTTGGGTCACCAGTATGAATACAAAGTGGTGAATCATTTAATAATTGTCATGTAACTTGTCTGCTGCATACGAGAATGTCTCAAATACTTGGCAACAGAGCAGCCATATAAATATAGCCATATGCGAGTGTGTGTGTATAGCAAATGTATGACGACTATGACAAGCTGATTGACACTATTGAAATATCTCAGCAGAACGTCATAATAAGCCTTTCCTACATTTAACGGTTATGCGTGTTTTGAATGCACTAATAAATGATGCATTGTAGATAGGCTTGTAGGTAATAGACTACCTTAATGCTTTCTTGACTGCTCTTTTTTTTGTTCACATCATACTGTACATTCCCCATTTCACCATAGTCTATCTCCTAATTTCTTCGTTTTTATTGTTATTATTTTTTTTTTTTTTTACTACAAGTTTTTTTTTCAAACTACCTGCGCTTCCCTCTTTTCCTCTATACTTGTTTGCACTCTATAAATTTCTATGATCTCAGCTGACCACGAGTGATATCCTTTTGAAATTATTGTATCGGTTTTGTCGTCCGAATCTCTTATCATCACTGCTCTATCACATATTTTCATCTTCAAAGAAAGATGGTCTGACTCACTTCTTTTTCCTATTCTTAAGCTTTCTACTATATCCATTGCTTCATTATTTATGAATATGTAATCTGTCACCAACTACCCTTGTGCGCCTATGTACGTGTAGTCCACCTTCTCATTCCATTCTTCTCAGCTATTTATAATGGATCATCCTTTATCATTTCTTAACAGTCAGCGCCCACCATTGCTTACAATTATTTCTGGCTATTCCTTTCTTTTCTTTTTTTTATGGTCTATTCCCATCCCACAGTTTGAATTTGCTATGCTAATATAAGAATCTTCTCTAGTAACGAATTTTTTCTTGTCTAAGAACCCTAAATTTTCTGGGACTTCCAAGCTCTTTGTTAATTATCCTGAATCATTAACTGATACAATAGTTAGTTTTATTTTACTATTAATGATTTTCATTTTTTATGATACTATTACCCATTTTTTAAATCAATTCACTCCACCCTCCTAGACTTTTCTTCTGACTCCAATAATGAGCCCCCCTTTTGCTTGTTCCTTTTAATTTAACTTAACCATAAGTACCACCTTTCACATTATAACCTTGTCAAGAATACTCTTAACTTTCTCTCAATGTTCTTTCTCTATCAGGTTTTTAACAAACACACTAAATAAAATCTTTTTATGTATTGCCAAAATTCCCTATCTTTTTTACCTAGCCCTGCAATCTTCTTAAAAAATTATATTTTCAATGCTTTCACATACTCTGTATGTTCTTACCTTGTTTGTTTCACTCCATTCCTGGCTTAGCTGAAAAACCATTCATTATTGGAGTCTTCTTAATTGCATTAATCTCCTATTAAATGCACTTATTATCTCTTATCTTACTACTAATAACATCAATTTTATGACTACCCTTGTTTTTTCCGTATCCATCACTTACATTAGGTCTTTTTGTTACATGCTTATCACACGTTTTACCATTTTATTTCTCAATCTCCTCCTTTCATTTTTCACAATTCACCCTTTTGAACTCCGTACTAACAGTTCTTTTTTCTACGTATGTTACGACGTAATTCTGCAACTCTACATTTTTCTCCCATCTAAACCAGCTGCTCCTGAATGTAGTCTTACCTTGCCCTGCTTTAATGCCTCACTAATTATCTTATTGTGTTTTGACTTATTTTACCAAATGCTCTTTCTTTGTTCTTTAAATGACGGATCCTGTTCAATAGATATGCTTGATCTCTTCAATTTGTGTTTATTTTTTATGACCGATATTTCATCATCATAGCAATACAGTTTAACAATCAACCCTGGTCGATTTTGTTTTACGTTTACTCTATTTATTTAAATTTGTAATCTCTTTGCTAGTAAATCCTTTCTTTCTCTCTCTCTCTCTCTCTCTCTCTCTCTATCTCCTTCTCTCTCTCTTGCACAAGTCCGTTTACGTGTAGTACCTCTTTTACTGACAGTTGACTCCTCTTGTTTCCCATTATCTTTAAGCTCCGGTTCGGTAGCCCTCTACTGCTGGACTTTGTAGGCACTGTTGTTAATGCTGACTCCATTGATTCTTTCTCCTCATACAGCTCAGCTTAATGTCTTTCATTTTCGCACCATTTTTTCAGTCTTTCCAGTTTGTCTGTTACTTGAATCTCTTTTTCCATTATTTCAGTGAACTTTTTGAAGGCTTTAGAATGTTCCTATCAGTTTCCTCAGAGTATTTTTGTTTACTATTTTTATACTCTTTTCTTTCCATTTTACTCTTTCTCATTTCCTTTTTCAATTTTGCCAACCACATCTGTCTTTCACTCTCTTTTCTCCTTTTGAGAATTCTTTCTTCGACTTTTCTGCATCAGCCTCTTTTCTTTTCTCCATTCTCTTACAGGTTACTTTCTTAAGCTTCATCTTATCCAATGTCATTTATTTTGCATCACTTGATAAACCTATTTCATTCGCCTATGCTCTATCCTTTTTTGTCTTCTAACTTTTTTATTTAACCTATATGCCTTAATTTTTTATTTTACCAGTAGATATTTCGCAAGCCCATATTTTTCCTCCGTCTTCTTCTGCCTTGTCATCACCGTTCGTCTTTTGGCCACGCTCTGTGGTAACTG